ACCAGAGCACCCAGCACATTTCCCTGCAGCTCCTGGCCTGGCGGGGGCCCACCTGTGGGAGCCGCTCCTAGCAAGGGCACCTGCAGGTGCTCCCACGTGGCACAGGGTGTCAGGGGCAGCACAGCATCAAGTAGCCCCAAGTAGCACAGGTAGGAGGAGGCTGAGACAGCTCTCTGGGCATGAAGTGAGACTCAGTGGTTGCTGGATTCTACAGAATTCAGGAAAACCAAGACACAAGGAAGCCAGGTTTTGTTTCAACCTTTCATCCCCTGCTCAAAGAGCAGAGCCAGCAGAGCTGCAGCACCGCCAGGCCCCAATGGCCAGGAGGCAGCAGTACCCCAGAAGCCTCACTGAATTCCAACCCTCAGCTACCTGAGAGGGAACGGGGCACTGCAAGAACTTTGGTCTGGTGGTCTCGCTGCCTGTGATAGCGTACATCCTCACTAACACCTGCCATGTTGAGTGATGCTGATTGATTGCAGCATTTCCCCTGATCCACAGGAACTGGGCCAGCACCCAGCCCAGCCACACTGGGATGTCCTTCTGAGATGTTTTTCCCTGCACAGCACCCTGATAGCCCAACAAACTTTCTCGGCAGAGAACCATATCTCATGCCTGCACTTCACAGACAGCTCCTCGGCTCTCTGGCCCCTACTAAGACGTAAAGCGTTGAACAAAAGAGCATAGTCTTTAAGCTTTCCCAAGCACCAGCATGAAGACTGCAGCAGCCTCCACCATCCTGTCAAGAGCCACAAAAACATTGCTCAAACACAAGATTTCAGCAACTGAACATGCAAAGGAACGAAACGGACATCCCAATGGCAAGTGGAAAGAGTCACAGTTAAACCAAACCACAGCGTTCTGAAAAGGGAGAAGTAGTAGCCAGGCTTCTCCCCCAATGCTCTGCGATGCCTGGCACTTCGAGGCACTTCACACTCATCAGGCACGTGCTCCTCTGTGCCCAGTGTCTGGCTGGAGTCCCATTCTGCACCAAGCAAAAGGTTTCAGATCGAGGCATTCAGTATTCAGAGAAGTACAGAGCTCATTCCACTTGCATAAAACCCTTTCCTCCCATAACTGCAACCGTCTTTTCCATCCTCTGCAAATGGCTGTGATGCAACCTTGGCTGGGGAAAGCGGGAAGGAAGCGAAGGAAGGAACATCTCCCCCCTCGCCTGGGATCAGGGAGATGAGGCCAACAGCCTCACTCCCTGACTGGCCACAGGAATCAGCCCATTGTCAAACCCCATCAGAAACAGCACCAGGAGCCCCCAAAGCCAGAGCCAGACTCAGCCTGAGAAGCAGGCAGCGAGAGAGGCTTCCCTGCTTCCTTTCACGAAGCTAGTGGCTCTCCTGAGCTCCGTGCACATCACTGTGCTGCAGAGAGGAAAAGGCAACAGAATTAAAACAGGGTAAAACAGAAGTAGATACATCACATCGAAATGCCTATCGCCTCAGAGGAGCTTAATTTCCCTTTAATGCTGGCTGTTACAATAACTGACTCAATGGAACCCACCGGCCATCCCAAGGGTGCAGGTGGAGCAAGCTGCCAGCCTGTCAGGTCTTCAGGCTGCTCACAGGCAGGGCAAGCCAGGGGCAAGGAGCAGAGCCTGGCACTGCTGCAGCAGCAAGCTGGGCCACAGCGGGCCTGGGAGCACCCCATCTGTTGGAGCATCCTGCACCTGGAGGCTGGGTGGCAGGCAAAGGGAGGAAAGTCAACCTTTAGTCAGACATCAGGTTTTCATTCTAGGTTTGTCTTAGTCTGCATTGTTTTCTTATGTCTCCCCTAAAAAATAAATAAATAAATAAATTGCAAATGAGAAGTAGAAGCACACAAACAAAAGTTTGTGTTTGTTTACTTTTTTTTTTTTTATTTCAAAGATTAATCACATTCTCCAGGTTAACATTAGGCAACATTATGCTAGCAAGGTGCAGCCAGCATTTTTTATAACACATGAAACTTTTTCTTCCAGATTTATGTCCTCCCTCTATTTGCAGTCCATACACTGTATATTACAGACTGACGTGATATTTAGGATATTCTCTGAGACTTGTTTCTTTTTTTCCTCCCTTTACCTTCCCTTTCCCCACCAACTACATAGACAATAGATATTGACATTCAACACATATTCAGATGTGTATACAGCTTCAGATGTACAAACACGTTTACAAACCTACTTCCTTTGCTTTAAATGCTTTGCAATGCGTTACACACATGTACAGGCCTTAAATCCATTTCAACTGCTTAATTAATCAGAACAGAAAGCATTGGAAAGTAATCACAATCCTAATGACGATTAAAAAAAATACTGCCTTTGCCATCCTTAAGTCACCTCAGCTGCAAGTGAAAGTTTGCCCAGGAGGCAGGAGGTGGCTCTGCACTGCACTGAGGTGTAGATTTCAGCAGGGAAATTCTCCAGAACTTTAACTCCAAGCAGGCATCTCATAAGCAACATCCCCACTAGAGAAGCGCTTCATTGACTTGCATGCATATTTCAGTGCTTTTCTAAATCAGAATTCTCTCAAAGCACTACATGCTGAGCTATATTTCACTGTAAAGTTTAGAGTAAGACCAAATAAAGGCAAAATCCATTCCTGATGTGAACCAGGGTTATGCTGGGAAAGAATTTGACACAACAGACCTGTTTTTTTTTTCCTCTCGAGGAAAGAAAATGCAGAAAACAGAGGAGTTCTTTATCAACATGTAACAGCAGCACAGCTTGCAAATACAGTTGCATGAGTCTCGCAATCTTTCACCCAGGGCTTATTCTAGAAACCTCTTCCTCCTCCCCCATCAACTGCAACCAAGGTTTTGCTTGAGGAAGGAGCAAGACCCAGAAGAGCTGGGCTCTGCCTTCTGTTGCAATATCCAATCTGAGTGTTACCTGCTCTTGGAAACAGACTATATAGAAAGCACAGATGATGTTTGCATATTTTAATTTTAAACATCTCTGCTCGCTATAAGGATGGAACCTAATAAGTTGATTTGTTTCTGCCTCATGAATTAATTCATACTGCTAACTGGTTTGGATAAAGCATTCTGATTCCAACTGATACACTTGTTTTTCGGACAGGCAAAACAACTTTTGGAGGATTAGCAACAGATTCATTAGCTTGCCAAAAGTACATTTATAAAATCTATAAGGAATAGATGCTTACTTTAAAAAAAAAAAAAAATTCACTCGTTCCACTCACGTCTTTGAAATCAATCAGATAAATTCACCTCATTTTTCAATGCCCTGAATCCTGATAGCTCGGCACATTTGATAGGTAATTCAATCATTGTTGGTGTGGATGAACACAAGCTCAAATTAGCTTCTGAAAGGCTTAGTCATCCTGCAGATAGCTCTGCCTTTCCACTTTTATGCAGGAACCGAGCTTCACCAACTGGTTAGCTAGAGGTGTTATTAAAAATTTACAGAAAGAAACAAAGGTGTACTCCAGTGTCTCCCCTTACCCTTTCTACTGTTACTCTGGCAGACAAAAGGTACGGAACCTGCTTCATGAATAATGAGTCATGTAATATGCATAATGTATTTTTAATGGCACGCAGTAATAACACCGAGAGAGATATTTCCAATCTTCAGACTTGCACTACGGCCTCTCAGTAGCCTGTTCTGATTCCCCGCAGATAGAGGTTTTTCCACCCCACTCATTTAAAGCAGCCAACTTCAGGCGGGCCGCTTCCCAGGCAGCTCCCGCCGCCCAGCAGCGCAGCGGCCCCGCGCGGGGCTGGGAGCAGCGCGACGCCCGCTCCCACACGCCGCTGCTCAGCTGGGCCTGCGGCTCGGCGGGTCCGGACACGCCAAAGGAAGACAGCCTTAGGCCACTGAAATACCCCCCGGATTCCTTCCTTCCCAGAAACTTCCCTTTCGGGAAGGACAACGTGCGCACGTCAGCCGCACGCTCAGCACGCGGCGCTGCCGCCCCGACGGCCCAGCGCTCCCCTGTGCAAGGCTCCCACAGCGCGAGTTATCCCCTCTGCGGATGAGACGCTTTGCCGGGGCGGTCACCGCGGTATCGTATTTTAAAGTCAAGCGCTGGTAACGGAGGCCGCTCGGGCCCGCGGAGCAACGCTGCCCGCCGGCAGAGGCCGGGCAGGAATCCCGAGGTCCGAGGCAGCGCCCCGTACCTCCGGCCGGCACCCGCGCACGGCAACGGCACTCCCGTGAGACAAGCGCGGCGCGCTCCGGGCTCAGCCCCGGCCTACCTGCGCCGGGCGGCGGGTCGCTCCGCGAAGCCTCCTGCGGGCAGGGCCGGGCCGGGCCGGGCCCGGGGCAACGCCGGGCCTCTCCAAGCGCCCGCTTCGTTTCCTACGCCGACTTTCTGCATTCGCGAACGCCACGAAGCGGGGCTTAAAGCGGACTGAGAACAGCTGGCGCTGCCCCGGAGCCCGCACCACGGCCCCGCGACGGCCGCTGCGGTTGCGGCGGGCAGCGCCGCGCCTCGGCCCTCAGGGCGGCGGGAAGTGGCGGGAGCGGCACGCAGCCCGGCGGGAGCCTTTCCTCCGCGCTGCCGTCTGCACAGCGCGCCCGCGGGGCTCCCGGCCGGACCCCGGCAACCGGCTGTGATCTGCCACACCTGGCTGCCGCCGAGCAGCTGCACGGCATTGCCACGCTCTGCCTTTCGAGCTGCTCCGCGTCCTCGTGTGACTGAAGGAAACGTTCCTCCTGTTAAACAGGGAGAAAGCAACGCTAACCCTGCAGCCACTTATTAGCCTGTGCTCCTGTCCACCCCTAACAAGCTTTATCCAAAAAAAAAGGCATAAGCAAAATCAGAAATAGAGTAAAGGTGACGTGCACGCCAACAGAGCTCTGCTGGTAAAAGGGCACGGGGACCCTCCATCTTCCTCCTGCTTCTCTTCTGCAAGAGCTGCATTGCCAGGTGCAGCGAGCCCCGCTAATGGGGCAGGCAGACGAAAGGCAATTCCACGTCCATCCTGGCTTCTGACTCCAGTTCATGCTGGAGTTCTAACACGTCCCACACAGCAGCACTCGGTGGAGGTGAGACTTCATTCAGGCCACCAATAACAAGAATCATAGAACTATGACATCGTGTAAGTGATGCACCCGGTTGTCAGGTGTCCCTGAAAACTCCTGGCACAGACATTTTATCTCAGAGGATATCCAAGTTCCTCCTGCTCTGAGCAGGGTCTTCTGGCAATCTACATTTCAAATGTATACACTTAAAACGGCTGTTCTCCCGCTAAACTGTTTCATGGTGATATTCCATAGGAAACTCCAGCCTTCAAAATTGCTAAGTGATTAACTAAAATCAGTGGACCTAGTGGACCTGGATTCATAAGCAGGACACTGGTGTTCTTTAATCACCAGAGCTCTTCTACAAAATATGTTGTGCAAATTATATTGTTCCTTCATTTCCTGTTTGAATGCCTGTTTGAATGCCGGTATCTCTGACCATCACTCGATGTGGTATATCTGTAACAGCTGACATTCACAAATAAGTTGAAGTCACACATTAAATCAAGATCACTTTGGATGATCTTCAATAGTTTATTAATTTAAAATATTGTTCCAATAAATACATACTAATAAACATTAAGACACTCCATAAAATCTAAATAGGACATTTACAAACCTGTTAACAAAGTATAAACAGCATTTTTTTTTTTTTAACTGAGGTACATGCAGGGTCATTTAAGGCAAATTCAGTGAATTACTCTTTTACACTGATTCCTGCCCACCTCAGGTGAGTCTCCCTTTAAAAACTTAAAAAAGAGAACAAAAACAAATATACAAAGGACAGAATTGGGTAGCTATTTTCCAGTTATTTATAACAAGACTGAGTGCAGAAGCCAACAGTTGTTCTGGATCAGAAGTCTTTGCTTTCCCTACGCCCCTGCTCTCAGTCAGGACCAGTCCTCAGGTGGGTTTCTAGTTATAAGGCGTAACTCTGTGCTTTGGCTTTTCCAGTTGTCTTTCATAAACTTCCTTTTCGTCAGTGGATGTAGCAAGACATAACTCCACAGGCCTCAAACACACACAGCCAGGCCCTGTTTAGCCACAGAGATAGCTTTGGGAGGTAAAACGGGTCTCCTCCTAAATGTCAATACAACTCTTAATTTACACCAGAATAAGTGAGAGCAGAAGCAGGCCCAAGCTGGTGCCTCAGCTTAAAAAATAGCCAGATGTCAAACTGCACACTTCAATCCAGATCCTCTAGGATTTCCTGACAGGAAACCAAGAGCGAATCCTTTCAGCACTGAAACTCAACCAAGGCAAGCACAGGGTGCCATTTACTGATTACTCTCTGTGAGTACCATGAAAACACGGTTATACCCACATATCCGTGCATAGTAATTCAAGCTATTGAAAACGTTAGGATTTTTATCTTGGCCATGGGAGAAATACTTTCCAGCTTACAGGTATTTGGTAGCTTATCCATCTTCAGAGTAACAGGCTTTGTATCTAAAAGGCTTATTTTCCAGTGTTATTTCAGAAACAGAGGACAAGAGATAGAAACCCCAACCTTTTATTTCCATTCTCATAGGTTGAGCTGCCAATGCGTGGCCCTGTCCTCTTCTTTCCTCTCCAAGCTCCTGGTCAGAAAGGTAATGCCAGAGTCTGTTATACAGACAGCGCTCAGGTCCAGCGGGGAAGCCAAGGGAGTCTGTTCTCCTAGTGTTGTAGGTGCTTTCTGCATTGCAGGACTCATTTGAGGCCATGCTGCGTCTCCCGGTGTCTCCGTAAATCCACCTTTCTTTGGAAGCCTTTGCCACACAGATCACAGCCAAAGGGCTTGAATCCTGTGTGTTTGCGACTGTGAGTAATGAGGTTAGAGCTTTGACTAAAGGCTTTTCCACACACCTGACACTTGTGAGGTTTCTCACCTGCAAGCAAAAGGTGTTAAAGAAGGTGTGAAAGGGGTAACATGCTGCACGCTCAGGGTCAGAGCAGATAGGAAATGCATTCTGAGCCTCAGAGCTAACTGAAGTGATTCCTACATGATTACAAAAAAAGCCATTCTTACTAAAATCATGCAGTTGGCTTCCTTGAGTAATCAGCTGTGCCTGCACCATGGCTTAGCAGGCACGGATCTGGCTGTACTTGCATTGCCCCAGTACAGTCCGGGGAGCAGCTTGAAGCAAATAGTGCTCTGAGGACATCACAGCTTGTGAACACATTGGTATTTGGCTGCACAGCCTCTGTGTGATTTATTTTATTTTTTAATCTAGAAACATCGGGAATTCCTGGAAAGACCCCAGCTTGTGATGACTGTCTGACATCAATTATGGCACCAACTTAGGTGCAAGTGGAATAGATTGATGGATGTTGCTAAGCCAAAACCAGTGAGCTGCGGCCTGCCTGCAAAGGAGGATGAGGCCCTTGAGTGAACCTGAAGGGCAGGATTCACACAGTTATCTGCTCTTCTCTCTCGTCCTCACTCTGAAATGCAAGCAGTCCCTCCAAGCGAGTCCTGAAGTTCTTCTCCTGGCAAATAATGGAAATGGCAATAAATCCAGCCTCTGAACTTCTCTTACAGAGAGGTCAGTGGCACAACTACTAGTCTCCATAGGAGCAGGATCTCAGTGCATTTCCATGCTGTTTACTATCAAATAACGGCAAAAAGGGAACCCCAACCACAAAACTAAGCCTGATTTTCAGAATGGCTTTGCACCTGTGAAGCCTGCTAACTTCAGCTGGAGCAACAAGCACTCTTTGTACTTTTGAAAATCAGATTCTTAGAAAAGTAAAATCTGTGTGAACTGAGCCTCCTGCACATTTTGCAAGCGGATGCTGCATATGAAATTTTCCCTAACTCAGTTAAGGTTCTGGTTCTATATTATCAATTAACAGCCCAGAGACAGTTTGTGACCTCAGAGTAATAATCCAAAGAACATTTTGGCCCATTCAGAATTTGGTTGAAATCTCATTTGAAAAAGTTACTATGGAAATACTTTTCACTTCCTAAATACTTCATTTTCATTCAGCAGTAATCTTGTGGAGAATCTTTCCAGGTACTATTGTTCACTGCTTATGATCTAGAAAAATCACAACCAAGTAGCACTACATATGATGTCATCTTTCTACATATTTACCACTTCAATATTTCACTCTTGATATCTGCTAATATTCCACTCTCAGGAACCAGGATTTTGGTCATCCAAACCTTGGGCTAGGCCACTACAACTAATATTTTGTGTCTACAAATGTTTCCGTGTCTCACACATCATTCATCTCCCTCTACCTTAAACGAATGTGGTGAAGGTATGTAAAGTAAAATTTACTTTTACAGATCTCTGATAAACCTGCCTTCTCACTGAGCAGTATTTTTAAAACAATTTCCTTTTGTGATTCACCTGCTCTTTATTAGTTGCCATGTTTATTACTAACAGTGAAACTTGAGAACTCTGCACCTCTCTTTCCATTCTGTTTCAGGCTGCAGCCCTTTCTCAGAAAGTCCGGGTGGAAGTGCAGACAATCAATCTCTGAACAAATATTTAGAGACTAAGATTTGGACCCTGGGACCGCCAGTTTACTGTTTGACCTAGAGGAGGAGTCTTCTCTTGTTCCTACAGTAAATTGGTATATCCTGTATAAAGAGATGCTGCAGTCAAATTCACCTATCATTTTCCAGGGACCTCAGCTGTAAATCAAGGCCACAAGAATATAATACTCTACAAATCATCTTACACAAAAGCTGTTTAAATAAACATCGGTAGATCCTATTAAGGAAACACTGATTGGATTGCGAGGATTTGGGTTATTTTGCAGCTGCTGTTCATGAAACCACATTCAAATCACCCTCATTTGCACAAGTAGAGCTCAGATAGCGTGAACCACAGCAGGGCCATGAGAAGCACGGGGACGTACATATGCTGTTCCAGCTGAAGAGGAACAGGCTGCTGCAGAGGGACCACTTCAGAGACCTGCCCCTATAGTTGAGGCTGAACACCAGCAGCTGCAAGGCATACCTGTATGAATGAAGGTGTGTTTCTTCATATCAGATTTCTGGTGGAACCGCTTCCCACAGTACTGACAGGGATAGGGCCGGGTGTCCGAGTGGATAAGCAGGTGGGTGGACAGAGTGGAAGATCTCTTAAAACTCTTTCCACAGATCTTACAATCGAAGCTGCGTTCCTGCAGAAAGAGGAGCCCAAACACACCCACATTACGCTATGCCAGAGAACCCACAGCAACTATCTGGCCAGCAGTACATCAGTGTTGCCCCTTCCGCCTTATAAAGCACTTCTGCATCTCCAGAAAGCTGGCCTGAGGAGATGCTAAAAGCATGACAGTGTTGCATAATGAAAAAGATAACGAACCCTTTCCCACTGCCTGCACATTTCAACATGGACCCATGATCATTCCGCTGGGAAGAGCAGCAGCTGCAGCACTGTTCAAAGTGCACTCTACACAGGAAAGTGGGTGCTGAGGTCTGTGTGGCTCTCTGGGGAAATCTCTGTGGCAGGTTGATTTGGAAGCCTAACGACTAACTGCAAATTTCTACCTTCACTATAATTAAGTGAAAGGTACCTAGAGCACCTGGAGAAAAGAGCTTTTTGGCTTATTGCTTCGACAAATCTAACTAAACACATTAAGACTGCCATGCCTCCTTTCCCTGACACAAACCTCCCCATCACTTTCTTCCACCACAGATCATCTTTTTATTTAACTCCCATTACAACTTCCTCCTCCTGCTATGCTTAATATAGGCACCTTATTTGGCTTTTTTATGCACACTCCCAGAAATTTTCTCCCCTCCTTGGATTTAATTTGCAGTACTGCTCTTTTCAACATTATTTAATGAGTGATATTTCTCTTCATTGTGCACTCTGCTGATGCACGCTCATGCAACTGTAAATAAGACAGCAAACAAACACTGCTGTAATTCTATCCTCCCAAACCCAATCTGAGGAAGGAAGATTTGCCAGGTTAAGTGGGTGGGTGAAGAGGAAGTATGGAACAATATCAGCAGATGGAAAATGTTACAAATACTCCTACCAAAATTAACTACCATATTCTTTTGGTGTGTGACTCAGAGGGTGTCGAGACAGATGAAGTCCGTGCTGTATACCTGACTGGTCTTTCAGATGTTCTCTGCATGGACACAATGACTACCAACAAGGGAAGATTCACTTGGTGGAGAGGGAGGAGAAAAAATGAAGAGAGCTGTGTCTGAAGAAAGCACAGTGACTTGCTTTAGCCGTTAACAAATCCACACCCTCCTCACAGTTTCCAGCTCAGAGAACTAAAATTTATTATTTATTATCTGTTACTTCTGGAGTGCCAAAAGAGCCCATTGCTTAATACAGACACACACAAGGTCAGGGGAATGGAAACAAAGTCAGTATTCTGTGATTTGTCAACTTGTTCCTATTCTTCATTGCTTGCTAGCTGCCCACCCTTTACTCTGCCTACCACCATACTCTTCACCCACAACCGCACCCTGCAGCCCTACTATGCTTTCTTCCTCTCAGTTCAGACACCCACCTACTGCTCTGTGGTTGTCCTCCCAGTGCCTGCTGAAGCAAGCAGCTGGCCCTGGCCCTCCCACCTTCATCCTGGCAGTCTGCCCTGCTCTCACCTGTGAGTGCACGGCCTTGTGCTGCTCCAGGCTGACTGCGTGGCCGAAGGTCTTGCCACACATGTCACAGGCAAAAGGCCTTGTGCCACTGTGTGAACGGCGCACATGTACCTCGAGGCCATGTGGTGTGGAGAAGACCTGAAAGGGAGAGAGTGGGCAGGGTCAGCTTAGCCAAGGAAAAGGGGCTGGGGAACAGTCATAACCAGCGTGGGAGAAAGGGGTCTCTACCTTGCTGCACTTGACACACTTGTAAGAGCCAGCACTAATGAGCAAAGGGCGGCACAAGAGGTCCGACTCCACTTTGAGGCCACCAGGTCCCTTCTCCTGCTGCAGCCCAGTCTGTGTCTCAGTATAGAGTCCAGGTGCTGCTGCTGGAGGCCGCTCAAACAGCCCTGGGCCTGGGGAGCCAAAATCACCATAAAGTCCAAGGGAAGAGCTACACTCTGCACCATAGAGGGTGGGCTCAGAGCCCCGCTCACAGAAGAGCCTCAAGGCTGAAGTTCGCTCCAGTGTTGGGCAGGGCCGGTAGCTTTGCACGAGGTGCCTCAGCTCAGAGCCTCCCAGGCTGCTCCATGTGTATGGTTTGAAGGGCACCGAGAAGGGAGGTGCTTCGTCCAGGGATGGACACACAGATCGCTCTGAGGCTGTGGAAACACAAGGCCATGGGAATTAGTGTACTTTTACAGTCCAGCCACCATCATGAGGCAGAACTGGCCCAGTACCCAGGTTTGTGCCAGAGCCTAAACTGCTTTTTATACATCTTATTATTCAGTAGGACCGGTGCATCCACTGCTAACTCCTCACCTGCTACCCCAGTCAAATAATTCAAAGCAACCACCTCCATCTTTGGGTGCCCAGGTGCATACATACTGATCTGACTGTTGAGATACTAAACAACTCTGCCTGCAACTTCCTTTGGTTTTATCTGTTGCTCCTCAGAAAAGTATACTTACTATATCCCAAGCTGAGCATCAGAGCTGACAGTCCAAATATTTAAGTTTACTGCAGGTCACACTCACCCAGAAATGACATTATGGAGGTGCCAGAAGAAGCAAACGTGCTGAGATGTACACCTGCACAACAGAACTAAAAACTGCTTGTTGCACAATGCAATGCCCAAATCCAGCCTCTCAACTTCATGCCATAACTGGCTGTTACTGGCAAAAGAATCATCGAAATAGAAAACAGCTTCTTGAATTTCAGCACTTGAATTTCATGCCTCACTTTTTCAGGGGAAAAAAAAATAAAATTGTCTGAAATAAAATCATAGTTCTTTCAGATTTCTCTGTATAAAGATGCTGAGTCCACTGAAAATACTGAGTTCATAAATGCATTATGAAAATCATTGGGATAGACTGCATTAAAAATTGAAGGACAAAGAGATTTTCCTATCAGCCATAATCAAAGCTATCTTCCACCAAGACAAGCTCAGGTGACTTCAGCTGTCTGTAACAGCCTCACCTTTGGCAACAGCATCTGACCAAGGGGGTAGGCATAAGATCTACCCCACTTGCTTTAGCAGAGACTGATGTAATGGCAGGAAAACAGCCTCAGAGATCAGTGTACAAAGGCACGAACGCTCAGGTTAAAACACAGTTATGCAGGGAATGTGAGGTATCAGATCCCAACCATGGCTGCCCCAGAGGTGGTGATTTATGTCCGAGGTGTGCTACTTTCACTCTTCCTCACAAAAGGTGGCAGAGCTGGGAGAATCAAATGTCTCCACTGGGCAAATACAGTAGTGAACTAAAAAAAAGCATTAATAAATTAACTGTTGAAACGCTGATGCCTTCACAGAAATATTGGCACCCCCTACCACTTTGTTTAGCAGAATAGCTTCCTTTACCCAAAAACCTGCACTCTCACAATTGTTTGATTTTTCTCATTCCTACCAGCTTCACAGATTCCACAGCTTTATCAGCCTTCAGCAAAAGAAGACAACCAGGAGTGGGACAGGGAAGAGAGGCAGGAAGCATTAGGCTACCCATTCAGGTAGACAAATGACCACTGAGGATTACAGAGAAGTCTGAAAATACATCAGAAATTGAGTTTTTAATTCTTATTTCTTTTATGTAGCTTCATATGTTAACAGACTCAGGTTTTTCCATTAAAGTACTAGTATTTCAGTTGGGAATATAAGTATATGTATCAACTGGGACAGAGAGATGAAATCAAATTAGCTGACATGGTGCTAAGCATGATTTTTCCTGTTCTGCACTGACTGCAAAGTTGTGGTCAGCATCACATCATCTATCTTGTGTCTTTGCAACCAGTTTCAGTGTTGTCATGTCTCACGATTTTATCGCAAGATTCAAAACTATCTTAAAGCCCCAGCTCTTGAAACTGCATGATTTCATCGCACAGCTTTCCTTTTGTTTTCTAGCTCTTGTAACTACTTTTTTTCCCTTAAAATCAACAACTAGCCCAGACCGTAAAGAAAAATATGAAAAAGTAAACCCTAAATATTTCAACACTAGAATTGAATATCCATAAGGTATTTCTTACAGTTTTGATTTCTAAGCCAGTCCATTGAGAGATGGGGGACAAAAGACTGACCTAATTTTTGAGCCCTTGGAATTGGCAACACTGGACACAGTAAACACTGCACCACGTATCAGTTTGCATGCAGCGTTCCTTCCATCACCTCACATGGTTTAAAGACCTTGCAGGCACAGGTGCAGGGGAGCCACTCATGCCATACTTCCCAAGGGCAAGCTCAAGGCATCCAAGCCCCACATCCAGCATCAAACCTTCTGTGTCACACTACACAGCAAAAGACACAGCTATCTCTGCCTCTCCTCTGCTCCACAGCATCCAGCCCTCCAGAGGGTGAATGGTAGAGAAAGACAGACTCTTCCTCCTCTCCATTCCTAGCAGTTCCATGCAGCCCCTGGGAGAAGAAACATCAGCACTCTTTATTGGCTGATAAGACAAAGTCTACCTGAGATGGCTGGGAATTGATTCAAGTTCTGTAGATTTTGTTCTGTAGAACAAAAATCACCATGATCCCTGTTACATCCAATAAAAGTCCCTCCGAGACTATAGCACCAAGAGGTTCATCAAACAATAGCAGTGTACTGCTGCACAGAGTTATCAGGCACCTTCTGTATATGAAAACACATGTGATTACAGGCCTACGTAGAAAGTGAGGTTAAATAACACAGTGATCTGAACTAATGCAGTCGATGTATGTAAAATGCTAACCCTATAAAGGTACTGCATTGTGTCTGTGCCAGCCCTGCTGCACTGGCAGCACCGCATTCAAAGACAGATCTGAAGATTGTCTTTCGCTGCACAACAAAGCATCCATTTTCACTCCTGGGGATGAGGAGGTGACAGTACTACTCACTGCACCTGCCCTACGCATGATTTACAAACATCATTTCTCAGCTGAATTGCCTGTAGAAGCACAGAAACACACAGACAAACACAATCTCAAAAATCCAGCATCTCACCAGCACATCTCGCAGAAGTGACCTAGGTACAAATTCCAGTTTCACGCTGAATCTGACAAAGCAGCTGGACGGCAGGGATTTGGGAAAGTTGTGAAAGGAAGCCCACCTATTTAACCCTCCTGCTGGTGCCTTGATCTTTGACAGCACCTCTCTCAACGCACCGAGGTTAGTTTAATGAAGCTTTTTCATGCCAGGACAGGGAGTCCCGAACCTTCAATTATCCCATGTGAACAGAACCAAACAGTTCCAGGACTGTGCCCCTCCTCTGACAAATCTTGATCTGGGGATGCTACTGTCATTTTGCAGATACCTTTTCCAGGTAACCAGATGGTCGGCAGGGAGCTACAATTCCTACAACAAGGGAAGAAATGAGTGGGGAGGAGGCAAAGGCAGAGCAGCCCTGGTAAACAGCTGCTCATTTTATATCTGCCTTTTAGATATCTTGTGAAAACGGTATTATTTGGGGAATGAGGACAACAATTTGTAAGAATAAAAATTATACATCGCTATGCTTTGAGGATAAATACTAGCAAAAGAGAGACTGCCCTATTCCTGCCTTAGGTCATTTGCACAGACCAAAACTGGTCTGTAGCTGTAACAACACTCATCAGCTTCTTTCAGGGAATGTTCAAATGAAGCTTTTTTAAGGGACTGGTGAGCTTTAGAAATGCAAGTCCCCATCATTACAATCAGCGGTTGATATGCAAGGACATTATAAAATGAAGTTGGAAAATCAGTGGGGAAATAAGACCAAGTATTCGTTTGCAGGCGTCTGCTGTCATTTTGAGAAGCTGAGATAATTTTTCCTTTGCTAAGACAGAAATCGTTTTTTTTGTCAGCTGTCACTTTTTAACCCAGGCAATAAAAAGTAGGTTTTGTATATACATATTTTTGTTATAAAACGACAATGTGGTATTTTTAAATGAGATAAGTATTCATGCCAGGCTGGGGACAGCATCTCCCTGCTCCAACCACATCAAAGGCAGGACAAGGGAGCTAGAGACAGGCACTGCAGCCATAAATGTGAGTTTCCTGGATCCGGGGTGTTTAAATCTGACTGTCATTATTTCATCTGGTTGTTTTATGAATGTAGTTTTGGAAAAAAAGGAAAAGAAAGGAAAAGAAAGGAAAAGAAAGGAAAAGAAAGGAAAGGAAAAGAAAGGAAAAGAAAGGAAAAGAAAGGAAAAGAAAGGAAAAGAAAGGAAAAGAAAGGAAAAGAAAGGAAAAGAAAGGAAAAGAAAGGAAAAAAAAAAAGAGGGAGAGATCCTCTTCTTTTTATAGACAAGAAATAACCTCAAAGGGAGTTCGGGAAAACATCGAGCAGGCAGTCCAAAACACAGTCTCTCTGCTGTTCACTACATGTAAAAAGATAGCAAGTAGATACTTTTACTGTCTTAAAATACGTTTATCCACTAAGGCCAGGTACCAGGACCCTGTAAGAAAACGCCGAGACCTTTAAAACATAACCGGCTACCTTCGGCAATTAATCAAAAAGAAACGACAATAAAAACACAACTCCCATACCGCCTGACCGTAACATGCGGCTCCCTTAGCCGGGGGAGCCCGGCTGGAAAAGCAACCCGAGAGAGACAACACGAAAACGAGTGGGTAAAGGCAAATCTGTCCTTCCACTCGTTTTAGACGGCGGCCGGAGGACGCGGACACGGGAGCGCTGCCAGAGCCCGCCGGGCACTGCTGCCCCGCTCCTACCTGGCGAGACGGAGGGCGAAGGCGGTCTCCAGAAATCTCCGAACTCGGACACCCTGTCGCAGATGCTGCCTTCGCAGCTGGGCGCCGACTCGGAGGTGCCATCGGCAGCCTCGGTGAGGTGGGACTCCGGGGAGAAGCGCCCCTGCGACGGCTCCGGGTCGGGCAGGACGGTGCGGCACAGCCCCGCGCCCTCGGGGATCTTGCTGTCTGCGGGGAGCAGGAGGCGAGAGGAGCTCAGCGGGGCCCGGCCGGCCACCCCCTCCCCGCCTGCCCCGCGCCCGCCGCTGGGCTCCGGGGCCGCCCCTCTAAGGGCGAGCTCCTACCTGCGCAGATCTGGGCCAGCACCGTCTCCAGCCGCAGGCTGTAGTCCTCGTCGGCGGAGCGGGGCTGGTGGTAGCTGTGCGCCTTCTTGCTCTTCACCAGGAAGGACCTCGGCATGGTGGGGTACTGCCTCGGCCGCCCTCCGTCTCCGAGCGCCGGGCGCGGCGAGCCTCACCTCCGAGTCTCCCGCGGGGCGGCGGCGGGGAGGCGACCTGCGGGGAGGCGCCGAACCGCCGCTGAGGGCCGGGGCCGCGGGCCGGGAGGGGCCGCTCGTTGGGGGCGGCGCGCAGGTGGCTGCGCCCCCACCCCCCGCCCAGACCCGGGACGCCCGGAGCGCGGTTTCTCGGCTCCCGCCGCTCCCGGGGCCGCCGGGTCGGGGAAGCCGGTCGGGGAAGGCGGCCCCGACGGCGGAGCGGGCAACGGCTGCGGCCGCGCACCGCGCGGAGATCGCGGGGGGCGGCACGGCGGGCACGAGGGGAATCGCTGCGGGGCGACGGCGTTAGCCTGACGGCGGGCAGGAGCCGTACCGTCGGAGGGACCGATTCACTCTGCTGCCACGACAGCGCGAAAACGAACACAACGGAACCTCTCAGCGCGCCGCAGCTGTTGGTGCGGCAGCGTGCAGCTGCGGGCACCGAAAGCCGGGGCGGGGAGAGGGCGAGGTGGGAAAACCTCCCGCGGGCGCCACGACGAGCGAGCGGGGCGAGGCCGCTCCCGGGCGGCAGCGGAGGGCCGAGCCCGGCCTCGGCCGCCCTCGCTGCACCTGTCACCGCCAGAAGCCCGTTAGATCGCGGCCGTTCGCTTCTTTTCGGGAACCCCGGGGGCTGCCGTCACCGCTCCCTCGAGCCGCCCCGGGTTCGCCCAAGAGGAGCGGAGCGGAGCAGCCCGGCCCGAACTCAGCGCCCACCCCCGCGGGGCCGCCCCGCGCCGCCGCCAGGCACCGCCCCCCGGGCACCGCTCGGAGTGCCACCGCCCAGGCCGGCCCGCGCCTCAGCCTCGAGCGGGGGGCGAGGGACGGCGGAGGCCTCTGGGGGCTCCGTCTGGACGCGGCGCTTTTCCCTCCAAAAGCCGTCGGGCGCCGCCGGCCGCCCCCGCCCCGCCCCGCCCCGCCGCCCGAGGCCGGAGCCTGCCGGGCGGGAGCCGGGCCCCGAGAGAAGGCGGCGGCCCCGGCCCACCCGGCCGCAGCGCGGACCGCCGCTCCGGCGCCGCACCTGCCCCCGCCTCCGCCCCGCCAACGGCCGGCGTGTGGGGGCGCGAGGCCGCGGCCCGAGGAGAGGCGCTGCCCCCGAGGCGGGCGGAGCGGCGCGCTGCTCGCTTACCCATGCGGAGGACGAGGGGCGCCGGGCGGCAGCCGGGGCTGCAGCCCGCTGGTTGGGTGGCAGTAAATTTAGCCTCCCTTTGAGGAGCGGTGCTGCTTCGCTTGTTTTTGGCGGTTTTTTCTTTTCTTTTTTTTTTTTTCTGTCTGCGCTCCTTCAGAGCTCGGCCCCCTAAACCACAAATTCCACTTCCTGAGCGTTAGGAGCTTCTGCATCGAAGAAAAAAAAAAAAAGAAAAAAAAAGGCGAAGCCCCGCAGCTGAGCCCCGCTGCCCTCCTCTACCCCGCGTGTCCGCGCAGAATCCCGCTGCGGTGCCGCCGAGGTGCCGCCCGGCATCGGGCGCCTCGTCGCTCCGGGCCGCGCCGCGCAGCTCGCACGCGTCTATCCGCGCTATTATTGGGTCCCGTCCGACTTCCGCGCCGCTCGCAGGTTCCCCACGCGGCTCGCTGGCGGGGCGGCCGGCCGCTCCCTCCCCTCAGCCCGGCGGCGGGAAGGCGCCCCGCGCCGCGTGATGGGCCCGGGCCGCCGAGACGTCCCCTAGAGCAGAAATAGCTTGTTGTGGAAAACTCTTTCGGGATAAATACGCCCAACGGCGCTGAAAATACCTAAAGCCCCAAGCCTGGAGGTTTGCTCATTTCCCCTCGGCTTTAGGTAATGGTTAAATATGGAAGGGGTAGGCGAGATCCCCCCCGCCGCCCCGCCCGGAGCTCCGCCGTCTCCTGACAGCGATCGGAAGGCGACGGCAAACGCGGATGGAGCCGGGCGGGCGGCCGGGCGGCGGCTCCCGAGCGGCCGCGGGCGTCGGGGCTCCCGGCTACGGCCGCCGTTGGCCCGAGGCCGTTCCGGGCTCCGCCCGGGCCGCGCCGCTGCCCCGCGAGAGCGAAGCGGGCCGTAACACCGTCCCGCTCCGAAGCCGGGCCGAGCGCGGCGGCACGGCGCGGTGCCGGGAGCGGGCCGCGGCGGGGCGGGCGCTCCCCGAGGGGTCGGCAGGGAGGCCGGGCATCGGGGTCCGGTGGGGCAGCGGCCGCGCTGCGCGCGCTGAGGGCCACGGAAAACGTAACGGGGAATTACCGTCAGCGCTCACGGTTCTGGCCGGGCTGCGGGACGGCACCCGTCGGCCCGCGCGCACCTCAGGCGCGGCGCCCTGCGCGCCGGGCGGCCTCGGGCAGCGCCGCGTCACGGCGCCACGAGGCCGCGGGCAGCGGCACCCGTCAGCGACGACGGCGAGGCAGCGGCCGCTCGGCGCGGCACGTCTGGAAGGATGGCCGCGGCAGGGGCGTCGGAACGTGCGAGGAGAGCACGTGCCAGCAGCCGCGTTCCGCGAAGCGCAGAACCGGCCCGTGCCCAGATCCGCTCCCGGCGGCTCCCGCGGGCCGGCAGCACGCAGCTCTGCCGCCGGGAGCGGGAGCGGCCGGCAGCGCTCCGGGCCGGCGGTGGCCGCCGCGGTGCCGCCACGCGGAGGTGTGCGGGGCCCCGGCCCGGGGCTCGAGTCTGCCGCGTGCCGGCGGCCGCGCGAGGCGGTCGAGGCGGGAAGCGGCCGCGCTCCCTTGAGGGGCCGAGACCCGCAGAGCGCGGGAGGAGAGCGGGTTCGCTGCGAGATGGCTTTACGGGCACGAGCCTAAGAGCGAAGAGCTCCCGGATGTAACGCGTTGCGCTGCTCCCAGCAGCCGCCTGAGATGTCCGTTAAAGCGGAGAAATCAGATAAGGAAGGAAGGGTGATGGGATGCAGATGGGATCTTCGTGGTCAGGAGTGATGAGGCTGTGGCAGGAGGATGCAGCTGAGCGCAGGTGGGGGAGGAGAAGCGTTTTTGTACGTGTGGAAGTCAGGTCCGGGAGCAGCAGCAGTGATTCTACGGGGAACTCATGAGTAAGGTGCACGGTTCAGTGTATTGAAAGCTGAGATCTCCATAATCCAGAACGTTTTCACTGGGAGAAGCTGCTAGAACACGCTAACTTGTAGCACTGTGCATTCTCTTGGGAAAGGTGTCATCATTTTTCATATTTCCTGCTGATTGTACTATTTTTGTTTTGTTTTGTTCTCCTAGTGGCTGCTCGGGACCTTTGTGCGTTTCTCCTTGTGGCATATAAATGTGCTGTAAATACATCAGACTTCAATTCATGATTTCAATAGAGACTCACTGGAGAAACAAAAGCAATTTCATCTGCTGCTCTCAGAGTAATGATTTGTGCCAGCACAAACTGGAGACAGAAAGTGGCAGTAGGCCAGCCGGGTTGCTGTTGAAGGTTGAGGTGAAAAACAGCATTCCAGCTTTGCGAGGGAGTAGGCCCAGAACTTACCTGTGCCATTAGATATGAAGAGGATGTTTTTAATGCTGCGTGTGGTGGGACACTGGAGCGGGTCGCCCAGAGAAGCAGTGCATGCCCCATCACTGGAATTGTTCAGTTTGAACTTTGACCAACCTGATCCAGTGGTGAAAGATGTCCCAGCCCATGGCAGGGGAGTTGGACCGGGTGGTGTTTAGGAGTCCCAGCCTAACCCATGATTGGATTGGAAGTTGAATCCATGCATTATGGAACATAGACTATGCAAAATTATCTCAGGAATTTTAGTTCCCAGAGTGGGACAACAGAAATTTCAGTCACTTCTGCAACAGTGTATGTACAACTCTGAGAATGTGCTGCTTTGCTTTTGTATTTCATGATTCTGGAATGAGGTATTGGAGAGACTCTTGGGAGTCTCTTCAGAATCTCTGGTTCTGATGGCTACTCATTCGTTTATTTCATTGATTTATTTTATGTCTTGAACTTGTTTGTAAAAAAATAATAAATAATTTAAAAATTCCTCAGAGAATTTAAAAAATATATCAACATAATTATACTGTTAAGAGTATTTCATAGAACAAAACAGAACTATGAAATCCAGAAATCCATCAGGTTCTACATAGCTTTTCCATTCCATCTCAGCACACACAAATTCATTAGCTGGTGCACACTTGAACCAAACACTGTGATTTTCAGGTGGATTGTACTAACCTCGATATTATAGTTTGTTGGTTGGTGGTTGTTTTTAGCCTCCAGGACTAGCCTACTGACTGTCCTAGGAAATCCGCATTATCCTCTATTCTTTGCCTTCTCTCAAAATGAGCAACACTTCTTTGATATCTCTGCAGGTAAAGGAATTAGCAGCATATCCATGCTAAACTGTGGACATTTTACGCTAACAAATCTTTCGTCCACTTTGGATTTTAAAGTATGGATTTGGAACGAGCATCAAATTTCTCTCAGCATCACTAACATCATCTTTTATTTAGAACAGTGATTACAGAAAATCAAAATAAAAACACGCATCTTCTTCAGTGTTGCTTTTCCACAAAAGAGCTGAACAGTGACTAAGTACAGTATTACATTATTTACGACATGGTATTGTAAAATTTGTGCTAGTCACTTTTATTGTCTTATAAGAATTTATATTTAGTGAATATAATTAGTGAATATTTAGTGAAAATAATAGAGGAATTTATACTCACAGTTGAAATTTTAATGTAGTGGAAGATAAAATATTTGTCAAAACATAAAATCGTGGGATATCATGAATTGGAAGGCACTCGCAAGAATCATCGAGTCCAGCTCCTGGCTACACAGGACCACCCAAAAAGCAGACCGTACGTCTGAGAGCACTGTCCAGACACTCCTTGAACTCGGGCAGCTCGGTGCTGTGCCCGCTGGTGCAGAGTCTGGCCCTCACCCCCAGCTGCCCCTCCACTGACACAGCTCCGTGCCCGTCCCTCGGGTCAGCAGAGCTCAGCGCTGCCCCTCTGCTCCCTGTGAGGAGCTGCACACCAGGAAGCCTCCCCTCAGTCTGCTCTGCTCTGCGCAATCCCAGTGTCTGCAGCCAGTCTTCATATGCCTTGCCTCCTAGGCCCTTCTCCATCTTCGCTGCCCTCCTTTGGGCACAATAGGACCACGCTATCAGATCCTACAATATTTGTACCTTTAGCCTGAAGGAAAACAAAATCAAAAAAGTAAACATTCAAGCTTTTGTAGCTAATGAAAGTATTTGATTATGAGATGGGGGAAATAACCATTTTTTACTACCAAACATAGAATTTAAATGGAAACTGTGTATGACACTACCTGAATTCAGAATTCTTGAATATGCACATATTGAGGCTAACTTTTCTAACACTCACCCTGGGTTTCTGCAGCCTGAATGTAGCAAAGCAACAAACTAAGAGAGCTATGAAGTTTTTTAGAAGGTCACATAAGTAAGGTCATGATGTGTAGCATAATTAATATGCCTTATTTATTGACCTACTAGTAAATGCACCAGCTACACTGTTAATATATTGCCATTATTCTGGTATGTATGCAGATTGTAACACACGTAGGCAAAGAAACTAGCTTCATTTGTAGCAGAATGCCCAAAGAGAAAGTGTGATTATTCTCAACGGCATCCTTTGTGTTTTCCTCTGAGGATGCTCCACATAAAACTTCTGAAACTGCAGCATGTTCAACCACTGACCTTCATCTCTAAAATGTAGTAGTTGAATAAAGCCCTTTACTTTTCCCTTGATATTTTTATTTGTGCTGTTATTCAGCGTTTGCAATTATACTATTAGCAATACACAAAAATACAAAAGTTCAGGAAACAACTCCTGTTAACTGATCTTATTTACTAGCACTTGAACAGTAAGGCAGTTAAGGTAAAATTATAGCAGCCAAACAGCATTTATACAGCCCTCCAACTGAATTTTGCTCCTGCCACTTATTATGGAACATTACATTTAAGAGAGGCTAACAGCTGATATTGATGACAGGCAACAAGACCTTATCACCCATCATCTTAGGTAACAATTATTCAGCTGCAAAATATGTCACTGGTTCCTCACTGGAAAGAAAAAAAATGTAACTGTTGCTTGTTAGCAAACAAAAAAGCCATGACTTGTTTTTACACATGAGATTTCTAATAGTGATTAGAACCAAAGTCAAGCTAATCCTCAGAGATGATGATTTCCATGAGCTATACAGCATATGGTGTAGGCAGCAGCAAGATGTGGGAATAGTTTGAAGAAATACTGAGGCAAGGCAGAATTTGCAGAAGTGGGTAACTTAAAATTTTTCACCCTCTTGAGATTTAAATTACATTGCCTAGACAAATAAAGCAGTTGAGAAACCCAAAGGATGCTTCTTCCGTTCAGTCTTCCTTATTTGTTCTTTGAAATGTTCTTCCTCCTCCCTTTTGCTGTTTTCCTAGGGGCTCATTCAGATGTTATTCAGCACTATGCTTCCACAGTTCCATGATTTTTAATAGCTACACTGCTTCTCACAATAAGACTTAACATACATGCTATTACTAACAAAATAGCCCTTCTTTATTCTTAAATAAAATACAGTTGCCAATACTACTTGAAAACAAATTCCAAGAACTGTTTATGTATGTATGATAAGAATATTCTTAATAATGGTGAAAATTGCTAACTAGCTTGTCTCAAAGGGTGTTCATATGACAATATTAGATGAAGTTCTGTTCAAGAACCAAGGCGGGGGCTGTGTTACTGGATCTTAGTTTACAGGAGAGCGTGAAAGCAGAATTGCTCAGCACTCACCACTTTGGCTAACAATAGCTATCCTGGTGACAGGATCTATACTATTTCTCAGGTAACGGCAATATAAAACTGCAAGAAAACTGAACGTAGATATTTTCACTGCACTGATACCTTCATTAGAACTGTTAACTGGAATACGCAAATAATCTTCTTATTCAAAGTACCACTCTAATTCAGAGCCAGAGGGTAACTAAAGGTTGTAGCTTAGAAGTGACTAGACAGTAAATGCTGTAACCTTGTTAAATTGTGAAAAATTTATTTTCATTACATATATATGAAGGTAAAAGATTTCAGTCATAGTGTTTTGAACAAGCATTTCAGTTAGACAGGAATCTGTTAGTGTAGCTACCGAAACTAAATGTAAAGTTAGTGTTTTGCTTTTATTTAGCAATTCATTTCTAGTGTGTATATACAGAATTCATTTTCCAGGTGGAATATGAGAGACGGTCATATAGCAACATTTACATTCCTCGTATAAAATGGTATAATATACATTTTCAGCTTGGTGCAGTTATATAAATATGTACAAAATAAACATTATTGTAGTTAATATATTCAGACCAGGTATTATTTAGCAACATCAAAAGCAGATGCACATAAATCTAAGTGAAAAGGGTGAAAAACACCTTTATGACATTAGTGACCAGTACTTGTATATAGGAAGTAGTAGAGATTATGGCTCCTCTTTCAAGCCTTCTGTGGGCGTTTGGTAACTTTAATAAAACAGAAGTTATTGAGAAGCATAATTATATATATGCCATATGATCAGATGGTTAGAGTCCATCTTAATCACAAATGGATAATGATGTAAAACATACACATTTGTTCAGAGCATAAAATATTGCACAAGAGCAGTTTCTTTTGAGGAAAATAATTCCCAACCTTGTGAACAGCAAAAAGGTTTCTTACACATTTAAAGAAATTATATATTTGCAGTTTCTAAAACAAGGAACATTCAGTAATACTGTCAGAACTGTCATCCATTAACTTCTTCCCAGCCTCTTTCACAGCAATGGTACATCACTAGCAAGATTTGGCAAAGAGAAGGCAGATGGACAGTGCACATGTGTATTTATCACAGGCCAGAACAGATCCAATAGTTACCTAAACCAACTGCTGGATGCCTTCAATTATCTGACAACTTAATCCTTAAATAAACACAGAAGTCCTCAAATGCTAGTCACAGTGATCATTACACAGTAGTAGAGTAAGATTCCATTCTCCTCTGTTTGGAAACCATCTTATCCAAGTTTCCAGTCTGGAGCGTGCTTTCTTCAGTCTCACTGTCACTGCTGTCTACAACTGTGTGATCCAAAGCCATCTGACCAGTCCTCCTGCGTAAATGAAAGTTTACCCCACTCTCCTGTATGGAGTTAGTTATAAAATCTTCATCAGAAGAATGAAATGACTCATCATCTCCTGTGAAATGGTTGACAATGTGGATCCCATCAAAAGTGGGTTGGTCTGAGAAGTCTCTCTGGCCTTTTAAGCATTTGATCTGTTAAAAAAAACACAAACAAGTGGGATTTAAGTTAATCAGAGCTAAAGAGGCCAGCAGCAAAATCAAAACAAAACCACTCATTTCCAATAATCTCTCCTCAACCAATTTAAATTACATGTTAGATGTAGAATATTTCCTAATCACTTCTGGAAGCAGAACAAAACGACTTCTCATTTCTGGCTGTCCAGAGAACTTGAAGGAATGTCTTAAAAGAGTACTTTAAATATTCCAAAATTCTTCTCACACACCTGGACTATTTCAGTTTTAAAGCTTAATAATCAAGGTACCTAGAATCACAAATGACAGATTTCTCCAGGCTACTTGCTGCATTTTTAGCACCCCCATGAGAATGGTTGATTGTTAGTTTTCTAGAGTGGACAATTCATTTTGACAGTGCTTTTGGCCTTCACATATACCTTTGAAGTTTCATTGTTTCCCCATCACTAATTTCTCAACTTGAGAAAAGCCCTTCCCTACTCCTAAGCAGAAGGATCCAGATGTAGTATTGTTAGTTTCATACAGTCACAAAAAAAAAAAAAGCACACAGCAAACACATTCAGTTCTGTCCACACTGCAAAAATCAAGCAACCTTTCATTATCTAGTTCAGAGCTAGTGATATTTCAAGACAATAAGAGAAACTTCTCCATACAGCACAAATAGATCGTAAGTTCAATTTTAAGAAACCAAACAAGAAAAAAATGATTATTAGGCTGTGGACAGATACAATAACAGTAGTTCAGAATGCAATTTGGAGTTATAAGCTACTTAATCATGTATTCAAGCTACTCGAATGTAAAACCTGAAGCTCTGGCAAATCCCCTGTTCATTAAATCAAAATAACCATGGCTCCCAGAAGACTTCCCTGAGATAATTTTTCTTTAGAATTTCACTGGTCTTAACTTTTAGTACCAATCGTCTCAGAGTCAGACAACTGTTAAGTATTATTGTAAGAATCTTAAGGAATTACAGAGACATGGAAATGCATTACAGAAACCTCCTAATATCACTCGTCGGCTTAAAAAGGAAGATGCATCAAGTGCTATTTTGTAAGCAACTCTTAACAGTATCAAGATCTGAAAAGTAGAGAGAAAAAGCTTGAGAAGCTACTTGCATCACAGACATATTCCACATTTCAGAAATTTGAAGTGATATTCAGCTTGATAAATAAGAAGAGCATGCAGGTCCTTGCTGCTTATATCAGTAACAGATTTTACTGTTCATTTGGGGAAGAAGGAATTTCTATATTCACACTGGGCTTATGTAAGAGATGCAAGTAAAACCATTCGGAAAAAAGGTTGCAAGAATCACAATCATTCTAGAAACCTCAAATCAAATGTAAATGGTATGCAAAAGCTCCATATATCTGATCACTTTAATGTTTATCAGAATGTTCCTGTTAAGAACATAGGTTCATACTGCAGACCTAAAACTTGGATGCAACTATGTGTACTAACCAGTATTGGAATGTTCTTGTATGCTTAAGTTGCAGTTGTTTCACAAGGAACTCACTTCTTTAAAGACAAGCAAAACAAGTTTCACACTCACACTGCATAGTTCATGATGCAACATCTCCTTGTGCCATGTGTTAGATATTAGACAGCAACATTTGTCAAGAACAAGCAACTCTTACTACTTCATATACCTGGATACTGAGATTCTTGCATTAGTTAGAAATATTGTCCCTAAAAATATCTTGCAATATGATTAGCTGCCACATGGTGTTTCCAGCAGTTTTATTAACTAAAAGATTTACCCCAGAAAGACAGAACAGCCCTACAGCTCCTGTCCAACATGATCAAAGGCTCAAAAAAGCTCACTGTACAAGTGACCACAAATTTCACATTTCAGTAAGAAATGAATGCTTCTATGTCTGCACACTTAAGCCATTAGTTCATCTGAATTGTAAAGGTGATATTCAACATCAGTTGAACTCTGAGAGCCAAGTTAGTGACCTTGAATGTTTTCCTGAAAGCTTCAGCATGTGATACCTTTAGATGAACACCTTTAGGAAACACGACAAACATCATGGCTTGGCAGTTTCAAGCAGTAGCCTTTTCAAACACCAAGTATAAACCTAAGAAAAAGGCTCTCTAAGGAAAAAATGGTAGTACTGGCTATGCAAAATCCTAAAGAGTGTGGGAAAACTGTAACACGTATTTTCTCATTAAGGCAACAAAAAGACAATCTGTTGCCCTTAAGAAACACTTCTTTTGGCCTGCAGTTTTACCCTCACCAGCCATCTTTTTCAACTACTCACATTCATAAGGAATTAGATTGCTAGGAAGAAACATGAACATATTGCAGAGAATGTGTGACAAGACTGTGCACAGTCATGTAGTCCTGTGACATCTGTCTGCTTGAAAAATGACTTGCACAGTGAAATACAGAAACATTGTAGCACAGAATTTGTATTATGGGGACAAAACTAACTCTGAATAAGATTTTGTGGGAGCCCTGATACACGATAGGCTCAGAGACAGCAATATCTCCAAGCAGCGAGCAAGGTTAACAGCACAGTACACTGTATGGACAAAAGCACAGCCAGTACATTATAGGTTCTTACTTCATCTGATACACAGACTGCACCTGACTTTGCATTTGTTACCTTAACTACTTCCTCAGCACAAGAAGCTGATGAAAAGACTCACTGGAGATCACCAAAAAGTTAGAAGGCAGAAGCTCATGCCATAAGGTGACTGAAAAGCGTGCTCTTCACTGAAATGTATGATGGGAGAAGACAATGATCGTAACACAGAACAGAAGTTAGTTTGAATATGAAGGGACAATAATCACTATAAGGCTAATTAAGACTTAGAGTAGGTTGCTGAGAGATTGAGCATCTCCATCTTCAGTGGTTTTCAGCAACCGCATGAAAAAGTCCTGAGCAACCTGTTCTGAAATCATTGGCCAACACTGTTCTGAGCAGCTGGTTAAGCAGACTCCCAGGGTCCCTTCCAACTTGGAAAGATTCCAGTTCAGCCATGTGCAAAAAAACCCACCTTGATACTTGCAAAAAAATCACCACACTTGTTAAAGTGTGCATGCTGTCATTCATATAGATTTTTAATTGTAAAACAGAAGTAACATGCTGTTGATACACAGGTTTTTGTGATCATGCACCATAAATTGGAAACAATGAAAATTTCTCAATTGAAATATATATTTAAGACTTGCATCTTAAACTCTTTCAAATATGAATGTTAATAAAATGAGATATTGGAATCAACTAGGAATCAACTAGTAAAACTAGTTTTACTGCTATTCTTATCATTTCATCTAAAGAAAAATAACAGCTTTTTTTCTTGCAGCTGTGTTGAACATAATATGGACTTACACCCCAGGTACACACTCGGATCTGTCACTTATGTTCTCGTTAGTGGAGAGACAATACCACTTTATCCTTTCAGTCCTAGGTCTGACTCTACTTCTCATGAAGGGAACTAGACACGTCTCACCCCAATTACCCCAATTCAGATGAATTTTGGTTATTTCTAATGCTTCAGTTTTGCAACAACCTCAAATCTCATCAAATCTGTAAAACTAGGTCTGGTAAACCCACAGGTCTTGCTTTAATTCTCAAATTCAGGTCATATCATCTAGATGACTGCAGCTTTTAGCCAGTTTTCACTATAACACATGAATATGATCTTCAGAATATTTCGAAGAGTTAATAAAAATATGTAACTAAAATATACTTAACTGTTATTCCTTCAAAAGCCATCTGAACCCAAAACACAACAGTCACAAGTAAATGACTTAGTATTCACATGTACACGTCTTTTTGGGCTTAAAAGATTCAGCATTCTAAAGAAAATCTGCATGTCCTATTGGTCAACGTATTAAAAGACTCATGAATAATGGGGTACTTCCACAAGTACAAAAAAAAAAATCTCTCAGTATTAGCAGTCAGATGCTTGAACCCCGATAAACTTTCTTACCTGATGCTGACTGCCTCATCGAGCCAGGCATAAGGGAGAGATAGTAAAGAGAAATTCAGAAGTTTTAGTACAAGACAATTTCTTAAACATTAAATGAAAGGTGATTATCAGAAACAATTTGCTTGCAGCTAAGTCCCTTTGTTTTTTTTAAATATAAATGGTAGGTTGAGGTTTTTACAATTAAAAGTTCTACTTAACCCCTAGGAAATGTTTTTGCTTAACCCCTGAGATTTTCTGTGTTGTTTTTTTTTTTTTAAGCTTGGAATTCATGGATGGAAAGAAGTTGAAGATGCTATTCCCTTCAAGAGGCTTCAGGAATCATTCTTGAGATTCATCCAATTCTGAAAAAATTAAGGATTCTAAGAATGATTGTCAGTACATATTCAATCTACTCACAAGGTAAGTAAACAATACACAAATTAGATCAAAATATGATAAAAACACGACCACTTACGTGGTTGTTACAATGCTGTTATTGGCTGGAGACAGTAAGTTTGTTGCACTCCAGTCTAATGCACGCACTAGCATATTACTGTTTCTTTTTAAAAGACTCCCAGCAACTTCCTTTGGAAAAATGCTCATATAAAAAAAATGAAGCAGTCACAGCTTTTCAGAATGAACAAATGGGAAACGTAACTTGAAAGACAAATATCACTTTATGTCTAGTTGACATATGTTGAAGCATTTCTATACATACATACAAAAAGAATAAACAACGTTAACAAGCCTTTTCATGCTATATTTTCACTTCCACGAACACTAGCACCTCCTTAAGACATCTTATGCTTTCTGAAACCCATTTTTAAATATGAGTTTGTACATCCACAGTGAGCCACATTCATAGTGAAACCATCGCAACATGAACTCTACACAAATGAAGAAATCATGAGCTAAACTAAACAGATGCAGAAACTAATATTAGCAATCCTTCGTTTAAAAGGATTCTTAGCAAGTTTAATGGCTGTACAGCTACAATGCAAATGCTGGTTGTAAAGTTCCCCAATAAAATCAACTTCCTTATACAAGGACTGCTTGCTATGTACTGCAACAGAACTGCA